AAAAAAAAAAACCAGACGTTTGTGGGGGCCATCGCGGGTGCAAACGAAGAAAAGAGCGCTGCGGGGACGCTGCGCGCCAGTTGTATTATGTACCATCCGAGTATGCGGAATGTTATGCTGCTCGATCGAGGACGTTCGGATTGCGCGTTCTGTGGTGAAGGAGGCCGGCGCACCGTGGCCGTGCGGGTATGATGTGGCCTTTCGCGCTTTCTCGTTCTCTCTTGGTTTCTCTCTCTAGCTCTTTGGCTCTCTGGCTCTCTGGCTCTCGTTGCGCGTCCGCCTTCTGGCTCTGTCCCTGGCTCTGTCGATACCACTCACAAGTGTACTCTGCCGTTCTAGTTGTCATCCGGTAGGATGTTGCGCCAGTCTCGGGGTCTGTGCATCTCGCGCGTCCGCTCGTTAGAGTGTCGTTCAGCCCAATAAGGGATGAGCAGGGTTTAGATCCCTGCCTCTAGTACTCAACTTGAAAGGCAAAATTCAGCAAGTGCGCCACATACCGGCTGTCACTATACGCCAATGCACCCATATCTCTCTCTCTTGTCTCCCCCAGTAACTCTATACCCAGCAAGCTGTCAGGCAAGCTAATGTCTCCATTTTGAATACCGCTAGATACAGTGCACCGGCAGCTAGACTACTGTGGGTATTGTCTACATAGGGCCATGCCCTCAAAGACTATAAACGAGACTCACAAACAAGAGATGAGCAGGCCCAAGTGGCATATTTAGAACATTGTACGAAGTATCTGGCTAAATAGAGAGGCAAAAACTGGGATCTACAGGTGCACAATGAGACGAGATGGTGAGCATGAGCGACAATCCTCCAGGCTGGCGCAACGGCTGTGTCCCCGGTCGGGTTACCTTTTAGCCTGAGGGTTCAGGGCAAGACTAAGGCTCTCGTGGGGATTTGCTTCAGCATATGTCGAGATCTGAGGCATCCCTTGTTGTACGTAGAGGCGAGCACGTACCAGGGCCATGAGATCGAATGACATCCATACTGCGAGTCGTCGTCCTCAATACTGTCTCCGGACCCAGAGTCGCTGGTCTCCGAGCGTCGTGATCGAGCCTCGGCAAGACTCTGCACAAGGTCCTGCACTTCCTTCCAGGCGGGGTCCATAGGAGGCGCGCTGGTGGCATCGACGCTACACAAGCAAGTTGGGGAAGATGCTAAGAAGGAGCCCGGCAACTTGCTTGGTGTCACCCGTGAGCGGCGATTCGTTCAAGTCGACATGAGTGGTCCACGATTCCCCGAGCCTGGCTAGGGGCCGTCCACATCCATCCGCTGGAATCGCGGTCGGCAACACGTCCGCGTCAGTGGTGGCGGACAGCGTCTGCAGATTCGGGCAGTGCCTCGCGAAATGTGCAAGTCCGGCCAGAGTACCGCTGGGCTCGAAGGGCGGGCTGAAACTCATGCCCTGGGTATCGCGAAAGCTGAGGTGCCGCAGACGAGGCCACGGCGTGGCCATGTCGCAGAAATCGTGGTCGTTGAAATCACCATTCAACTGCGAGTCAATCTCGAGGACCTTGCGATTTCGGAACGCATACAACCATCGAATCTCCGTCGAAGACAGTGCCGCAGTATCACTGTCGATATATATTTCCAGGTCGATGACGTGAAGGACGTCAGTGATAGTGCAGCGCCCAACACAGGTCACGAAGACTCTCGATGGTCCCTTCAAAAGCACACACTTTGATGGTATTAGGTTTGTGAAACGGGACGACGTGAACACAGCCGTGGTGGACGACATAAAGTCGGTTCGGAGGGAAAATTTAGCCACAGAATTGAATACAATAGTCTGAGGATGCATGCGTGGAGTAAAAGCCACCAGAGGAGAGGGACGATTGACAAGAGCGAAAACGAATGGAGGTCCTCAAGAGCCTGAACTGATCCAGAGATAATAGGAAGGTATGGTAGTTCCTCCTCACAATAGTCGAAAGATATTTTCAGATTGTGGAGCTGAGGGCAGAGACGAGGTATATAGGCCAACAGGGATGTCATGCTCGAATTAAAATGCCACACTGTCAGCTAGATGGTCGTGACGGTAGACCCAAAGAATATTGAGCCATATCTAAATGTTTCAGGATGGGCAACCTGGCACCATTCGAGGTCGCGAAGATGAGGCAAAAGTTCCGATAAAGGACGTGAAATACTGAGAGCCTCGAATGCGCCCTTTGCAAGCCGGACGTATGTCATTCTTCTCCTTGGCTGCCACTCCAAATAATAAGCGAAGTCGTCAGAAACCAGGCATCGAACGCGACGAGCGTGTATATGAAACCGCGTCCAATCGTCCGGTAAGATAGACCGCTGAAATGTCTAGTCAATAGATCACATTAGCGAAGAAGTAATAGACAGAAAAATCTAGATGTGGTACCAGGCATGTCATCGTAGAATCCGGATCTTCTTGATATAGGCTTTCTTCCCACAAATCAGCAGGCATGCATTTGACCAGGTTGCCCACATCACATTGAGAATGCCACAGGATATTCAACGCAGGTTCGCTGAACACGCGGCAGGTATACACCAAAGCCACAACGTGTGTGTAATCGGGCTTCGGCCAGAACTGGTCTACGATGATCTCAATGATATCTCGGACTTGGAGAGCGCGATGCATACTATGCAACCTGGACCAACGTTCGTCGTGCGAGATTTTACCTTAGTCTGCAGGTCAGGTAAATATCAGAGAAAAGCACGTATAAAGTGTCTATCTAAGGTCTAGGCAGCCTTGAAAGAGGAGTTTGGGTGAGGAAGACGGCCGTCCACTTTTCAGAAAGACACAAGGACACAATGCTGGGCGTGCTGGAGGTCGGCGGATAGGATTGTTGATGTCAATACAAGACGGGTTGTACGTAAAGGTGGAGGCTTGCAAAGGCAAGTAGAGTGTCTCTCGTAGTTACACAATGTATACTTATCGCGAGTGAAGAACGAGGGAGTAAAATCAAGGCAAGATGGATCTTGACCTTTGTCTGCAAACAGGCGCTGAAGACGAGCGCCTCTCCCTAGCTCTCGCTGCCATCGCGCTAGGTCACCTTGAAATACCGGATTCTTCTGCATCACTGTTTCCTGCATCCTGAGCTTTTCACTTCAATGAACAACTCCAATCCCAGAATCAAGAATTATCCCAATCTCAAAGCCTGGCCAGACTTTGCCGATCTTACCTATCAAGACAAAAAAGGGCTGCAAACTAAGAAATGAATACGAAATGGCAGTCAGAGTGGGAGCGATTGAAGTCAAACCAGTGAGTGAAGAACCTATCGACGAGCGAGCAGGAGATGGCGGTCAGTGTGAGGGCACACTCGCGGATAGGGGGCTGAGTAAGACGATGGAGCAAATTGTGCCCAACGCGGTGAGCAGGTAGGGTGTCACTGCTTAAACGCGGCGAGCAGGTAAGTATCGCTAAGTATCTGCAGCGGCAGACAGGTGCGATGACCGAGACATCCAGCGTGCGCTCGTGTAGGTTGGTCTGATAAATCTCCAAATCAAAGCTCCCGCTTGATCAATTGTATGTACACACAGGACAGACGTCGTCAGATTGCTACGGTACCACACAAGAAATAATTTTAGTAGCTCATTGTGCCTCCATCCATGCCACATCCCACGGAGCCGTCACGATCCACTCCGCGACCAGCTCAGCCATCTCTCCTGCCCCCAGGCCGCACTTCCACTCGAACAACAGACCCTTGTCCTGGCGCAGATTCCCCGTCACGTCGCCCAGCCAGCGCACATCCTTCCCCAACACCGTCTCCGCCGGCAGCGTGTCGCCCGCATCCTCCGCGGCGCCGGCCGGAGCAATGCGACGCAAGCGCACCTGCACACGGGCGTCGTCTGCGACGGGCACCGAATCACGCACGACGACCGCGGGCAGCGCAAACGCGTGGCGATTCTCCAGCACGGTGCGCAGCGTACATGTCGTCGTACGTACGCGCCACGCACCGTCGCCTTCGCCCTCGCTCGCCGTGTGCGCTGTGCGGTGGTACGCGACGCGCAGTGCCTCGTCCGGCCCGAGTGAGCACACGAACTCGCTGCCGGGGTATGTGTCCTGCAGGAGCGGGTGGTCAGCGAGGGGGCAAGGAGCAGGGAGCAGAGCATGTAAAGGGACACGCACCTTAATCTCCGTGCGCACGACGAGCGTGCCGTCGACGAAGACAGAGAGGGGGCCCGCGAGGAGGCGGTGTGCGCTCGCATTGGCGATGCGGCACTCAATGAAGGCCTCGGCGCACACCCGGGGCACGCACACCCACGCGAACGTGGCGGCGAGCGCGAGCCGCGCGATGGGCACGTTATGCGCTGTGCCGTCGCTCGGGACTGTCTCCACGCCTGCAGAGTCGAGGCGGAACGCCTCGGTGCGTGGCGTCTCGCGCACGACCGTCGTCAAACCCTCCCCGCCGATGTGCAGGTCTGGCATCGGCCCTGAGGCGTCGTGCGCGGTTGGAGGCGCGCTATGGGGGACAGATCTACTACCAAAGAGCCCGCCACTGAAAAGCCCGCCACCGAAAAGCCTGGCACCTCCTGGTGTGGGCGCTGTAGATGCCGCCTGGCTAGAGCTGGACTGCAAACTGACGTCCGGCGTGTGGTCAGGCTGGGATGCATGCTGGCTGACATTGGAGCCCTCAGAGCCGTGTTGGGCTTGTGATGTGTCCTGCAAGGGTACGGACGCCTGTGTGGCCTGGCCAAATGCACTGACTTGAGGGGAAGGAGCCGCGGCTTGGGCTGACTGCCCGAACAAGGCGAAGCGAGGAAATGCGGGTTGTACCGTAGACCAGATGATATTCGGGGAGTGCTCGACCGTGATCATGCGGGGAGTGAGCTCAGGAATGGCCTGGCGGGTGGGCATAAGAGTGCAAGCGGAGCGAGGGGAGAAGGTAAGCTGGGTGTCTTTCCAGTCCTCGCCCGTGCTCTGGGTGACCCGCGCGTGGAAGCGAAGCAGGACGGTGGGCTGGCGGACACCCTCGGATGTATTCGCGTGAAGTTCATAGTGAGGCTCCCAGCTGGCCTGCGAGACCACTGAATACAAGGCATAGTCAGCCTTTCACCATGTAAGTATAAAAGCAATGCACGCACAGTAGGAAAGCTGGAACAAAGCGTGACAGTCCTGCGAGGAGATAATCTCCAAAGTGACCTGTCCATTCGTCGTGCCTTGTCTCCAATCAAGCCCTGATTGCTCCTTCAAAGCCTTGTCCACCTCTTCGATCTGTCCCTCTATCTCCCGGATCGACCTCAAACTGGCGCGCCTCGCGTCCAGACATGTGTCCAAGATGGCTATCGCATCCGACGGGGTGGTGGTTGCGCTTGAGATGGACTGCGCGTATCCCATGAGGAGGTCGAGCCCATGCTGCCTGGTAGATAACTCGTCTTCCAAACTTTTCTTGTGGGCTAGAAGCTTGCGCTCTGTCTCAGACCTACCGCTGAGATCACCCGGTTGGGGGACCCTAATATTACAGCTGATGTTTAAAACGTGAACAGCATCACCGAGTTCGGTGATCCGCACAGACTCGGTATCGACACAGCTAGACAAAGCCACCACCTTCACAAGGTTCTGACCGCTCTGTGGATCGGGTTAAACAGTAGTCTCGTGGGCACACGCTGTGGGCTCTAGACTTACCTTAAGATCAAGCCCAATAGTGCGGTCTACCTTTGCGTTGGACGACTTGAATAGCGTCACTAGCTTCACAGGACACTCCGACGCATGGAGCGTGATACACGACATGATTGCTAGCAAGCAGGATAGGTCACTCTAGGGTGCGCTGTTAAGAACACGTTGACGAGTCGATGGGGCCGGCGACAGCGCCTACAATTGAACAGTCACAGCCTCTCTTTGACATACCAACTGAGGTGACTATCTGACTACAGCCTCTTCTTGACATACCGACTGAGGTGACCGCCTGACTACAGCGGCTCTGATTACATGTACACATACGACGACCACAGTCCGGTAGTACGAAGCGCCCTGAAAATAACGAGAACAGCGCACAGGGGAGCAGACCGTCAGATAGACATCCGAAGCCTGCAAGACTGAAAGATTGAAGTATCTACTCCTGCTCACAGAAGACTGGTCAGACCTTCACTCTTAAAGAGAAGACGTCATACTCACTCTCAACGTCATCACAAATCGCTTTCGAGCCTCGAACCCACAACTGCATAGCCTCTAGGTGCCTTCCGCTCCTGCCGCTGCTCCGTTTTCGTCCTGATTGCGGACGCGGGGACGTTTTCCACCTGCACCAGCTCCTTGACCCTCAATATTTTCCCGGCTATGTCAGGCGTGTGCCGATGATAGACGGTCTGCATCCTCCTGTGTATCCCCAGCGCAACGAGCGTGCCCTTGATATTTGATGGTAATGAAATAGCGGAGCGTCGGAGAGTGATGCGAAAATGGGTGTTTGGCTCAGCCAGACTGCCTTCGGCTTGCGATGAAATGACAGTAGTAGCGAGACAACGGGCAGATAGTGGGCGGTTGACGATGCACCTTCTAAGCAAGGGCAAGTCGAGCCGTGGGTTCATACACAACATCTTTGAGGGGGTAACAGAAAAGGAGCACGGCAAGAGCGCAACAGTGGCGAGCCACATGAGCAACACGTAACTGCCTGCCCTAAACTTGTTAATCGCGTCGTTCAATCACGCTCGAAGTTCAACGCGCGACCGACAGCAACACCGTACCTCTGCGCTCCCCTATTCTGCTTCATATCTTTGGCTAATTTCTATCTGAACGGGTCGTATGTCATCAGTCTGAGACCTCTCCTGGCCAACGACTAGACTTCAACGATGCTGAGACGCTCCAACAAATCTAGCAAGGCCAGTTTATACCACACAACTGATTTGCACGACCTCATTTACAGGCTTCGATAGGTACCTAATGTGAAACTTAGACCTGCTGCACCGACAAAGAAACGCGCTTCCGACTCCCGAGATGATGTGGCTGCCTTTCCCCCTCAATTCGGCGTCGATGCTACACAAGACGCGAGCTCCGCTGATCTGCAGATTCCAAGACCGTTCAAGGACATCGTCCTTTGTGCGACAGGGATTAACGACAAGGTATGCGGTGCTGCTGTTGCTCGTATGCAATTCCGTTTGTCTTCAGGCCTTCACCCGCCCCGCTGATGTCGGTTCCATTGAACTAGACAGCCGTGTTTAAACAGGCCATGGAGCTCGGTGCATCCTCATTCAGCGATCTTACAGACAAAGTCACCCACTTGATTGCTGTCGAGCCTGGGAGCGCGAAATACAAGGTCTGTAAGTCGGTCTTTGCTCGCCCGACTCTCGTACTCAGATTACTTATTTACCTAGTGTGCTCTCGGAAACAGAATTCCTATAATGCATCCATCCTGGATCACGGATTCCTACGAGATATGGCTAAGGGGGGATGATGTTGACGTGCAAGAGGTGCGTGGATCGATATTTTGTTTCACGACGCTGGTCATAACTATCAGCTTTCGTATTCTCATTCCGCCAGAGCATCGAATCTCATCGACTTCCCGTCTTCTCTGGAGTAGTCCTAGCCGTTTCTGGAATCGAAGACCTCGAGCAGCGCATGGACATCAACCGGCTCGTCACGGAGAATGGAGGCACGTATGTTAAGAAGATAGAACGACCGGTGCGAGTGACGCATCTTCTATGTGGCAGCAAGAATGAGGAGATGACAGACAAAATGCGTTATGCCGAGAAGTTCAATAAGCACGGCGAAGCGAACATCCACATCATCTGGGAGGAATGGTTTTGGGACTCACTAGATTTTGGTGGTATGTGAAATTAGGCATGGGGTTGTGGCTAGCCTAGAGTGTGATCCTTGTTTTTAGGCAGGTTTGATGAGGAGACTTACAAGGTGTCCAATCCGCCGCCACAAAGGAAGCTATTGCCCGAGAGTGAGCCACTTCAAACTTTTGAGATCAATACTTGACATTTACACTCCCGTGTAGCGGGAACTCCTCCGCCCTCCTCGTCCCCTCTGAATGATGTAGCATCGCTCGCTTCAGCCGACAAGTCGGGGTCCCTCGATTCGCTTCCCGTAGGTGATGACGACGAGGAAGAGATTGCCTCGGGCAGACATGTTCCCTCCGAGATGCTCCAGATCTGGGGAAGCCTGCTCAAACCTCGCGGGTTCGAGGTCGCGAATGGCAGGTTGGTTCACAGTCCCACCAAATCGCAAAACACGCGCGCTCGAAGTACCACGCGAGAGCCTTCTCCCTTAGGGAGCAAAGTTGAGCGGATGGCGGCGAGGAAGCCAAGTAGCGCCGGAGATCCTCCACCCGCCCCGAAGAGCGCATTGTCAACGTTCAGACGCACGAACTCTTTTGCACCGGCAGCGAAAGATGCTCCGACGGCGCGCCAGCTCTTCAAACGACCGCCCCCTGTGGGGCCGTCTTCTTCATTCATGGCCTATCCTTCGGGGGTGGCTGATGTTGAAATGCATCGAGATGGTGGTGATGCAGCGCCTGTAGCCTCTTCGTCTACCACGGGCGTCCGCACTGCAGTCAGGGCATCCAACATATTCGCTGGGAAAACATTCCGCGCCCTCGGCGAGGCAAAGGGAATGTCCGTAAAGGCCGCAGTGGAGGAATGTGGAGGACGTCTCGTCTCTGAGGTCGCAGACGAAGACGTTGACTACATTGTTGTGCGATTGGTCAGGTGCGAGTTGCCCTCCCGCAATTGGCTAAAGCTCAACGCCCATTTTTGCTATAGCGGAAGCAGTTTTTTCCAGCAAGAAACAGACCCCGGGGAACGGCTCAAGTACCGGACCGAATGCTGGCTGGAGCAGTGCATTTTCGACGAGCGGATATGCGCGCCTGGGGAGCACCTTGCCTTCACTCCGCTGAGCACACCCAGTCCTGTTTCTGGTATGTTCCTCGCGGTTGCCTGCCATCGGCATTGCTCATTTATCCGTACGCGCGCAGGGGCCGAGCACATAAATCTCAGCTACTCTGGCCTGGATCATTCGGAAGCATGCTGGATTCGTCGATTAGCTCGAGCGATAGGTAAGGCTACTTGTTCTCCGCTGAGCAAGCGGCGCCGTCTCACGATGCGCCCGCAGGTGCGAATATCGCTCCTAATTTTTCTCTGCGTTCGACGCACCTCCTGTGTCCTTCGGGCTCTGGTCCGAAGGTTGAGAAAGCGCGTGAATGGAGCATTCCCGTCGTCAACATGTCGTGGCTGGCTGATATCACTAGGACGGGGTCTATACCGCCGGTGCAAATCCGTGTCCGTGAAGGCGTGTCGATCGACGATCTAATTCCCGCCCCACTCGCGCTGGAGCGTGGGGGCGCTATGAACGTAGATCCAGTCAAGGTCGACCGCAAGGGCAAGGGTAAAGAGAAAGTAAGCGAACCATCCGTGGCCGGCAGCACGAACAGTGGGCAGAGCGATGCAGGAGACTCGAAGCATGCTGAACATGGTCCAGCCATCGACGAATCTCACGACAGCTTCACTATGTCTGAGGGAGGAATGTCAGAGGTTCCTCTACGGCCAGTTGACACTGTTCCACTGGAGGATGGTGTGTCTTTTGGACAGCCGAATGAGTTGCTAGCAATGACGCAAAAGTTGCCGGCGGCGACGCCTCCCGCTAAATCCCCCCCACCTCGACCATTTCTCAGGACCAATTCCGCCCCTATGTTGGACCCTACGACCGCACGACATAGTCGGAATCCATCGCTACCAGCCGCCGAACGGCCCGGCGCGCTCGAACGCGTCCCGTCC